CCCCAAATGCCGATCTGCCGTACTACGTTGGGCTGGCAGTAACAGACTTGGAGACAGCTATTGGCCCCGCCATGCTGATACAGAATCGGCAAAACCAACGCCCATTCCAGACTGGATACGCTTTCCTCAGTTAGAGCTCTTAGTGTTAACTGCGACTCCGTCGTAAGCATGTCTGTTGCCGTTGCTGTAAGAGATAATACAAACTGGGGTTGAGCAGACTCAATGATCGTAAGCTCGTCGTTGTTCTCCCAGTCCTCATCGTGGCTCTCAGCACTTATATTGTGGTTGTCATCATCGTACGACGCACCACTGTCATCGCCTCCTTCATAACTATCCGGACTGTCCTGGCACGGTGGTACGCCAAGTTTTATTGTCACGGGCGGCGTGACACTGGCGCTCGCGCCGAATAGGGCCTTCAACCTGGAAAAGTCAGACCATATTACCTCTAGCTTCTTCGGGGTCGATAAAGTTCCTATCCTGATGTCTTTCTGCGTGAGCTCAAGCTCGTCTCAGCGTCACTTGCGTTTAAGCGTTCTCTTAAAACGCTGTATTAATGTACGACATCACTGCTGGATGTTGCGGTCTGAAAGCTTCTGAAGCGCAGGAATTATCAATTTGGGTCAGCAGATGTGTTGGGAACGCCTAAAATGCATCCACCGTTTTTACTTAAGGTTTTACACCAATGCTCGTTTTCCCACTGTGCTGTAAGTTGATTCCAAGTTGGACGTGAGTTCCAATACGTCCACTATGGTGCGATAGTCGTTGCTGGAAAAGTGAACGTTCGACACAGCGCTCTGGTCGGCTCCCTTGCTCATCGTACAGGTGACGATATTTGTCGACCAGCTATACACGACATGTTTGAATACAAAAAATACAAGCTTGCGGTAGCACAACAGTTCTTACCTAAATAAGTGACAAAGCGAAGAACCGCAAAAGCGATGAATGAGAGAAGAGAGAGTGACGGAAAGAACTGAGGGAGGTTGGGAGCAAGGGAAACCTCAGTTGTTAAAGCTGTGCTTACTTTTTAATCAGCCACATTCGGAGGTGGCTTGCTTAAAAGCAAGACGTAAGCAAAAAAAAAAAGAAGAAGAGAAACAGTATCTGGAATCCCAAAAATTAAGCAGCATTTTTGTAACGTTCGACTCCCCTTAAATAGAGAGTTTCTGTTATAAATTTCTTTGACGATTGACGAGGGAATGACCATTACCTTTTTCTGCTTAATTATACTCATACGTATTATCTTGTAATGTCGTTCTATCACCTTAGACAAACTGTAAAAAGCTCCAAAGAACCCTCCATCAAGGAATAAGCCCAAGAAATGATGGTGAAGATTGCGCTCTTAAAGTTTGAAGGAATTTAGAACTGAAACCACCGGATAGTACGGTGTTGTCAACCCGAAATAATTGATATATGAATCTGGTCGGTTTGCAATGATTATTATTGGCATTTGTGAATGTCTAATTCTCAGAAGCATACAATTTTATACTGTAATCAACAGAGTATTGTGATATTGCTAAGAAAAAAAGCTCGTTATTGGACTCGTGCGTATTGCAATGATCTTTAGGACTAAAAAGGTTATACAATCCAATTTTATTTTTAGTTTTGATCCCTGGTGCAAATGAT